TAACAGCTAAATTCCACCGATTCTAAAATTTTGAAATTTTTTATTTACAACAGAAGTGTAAATGTATGATATACATGATGTTTACATGATAACAGCATTTTGTTTTGATTACCTACAAGCATACTGCAGGTAGGAATGTACCGCGTGGACCCTTCTCCCCCACACACTGAGTTGGAACAGCCTATAACCGACTCATTTATGGAAGTCATAGATAGATGACCCTTAAATTAAAACATACTATTTCTTATAATAGATAAACTATTATAAAAATAAGGCCTGTCAAACAAGAGATGCATACTCTATAGAATATCGATGAAAGGGACCCAATGGCAATGAGACCATTTTGCCGAGAGACTTAGTCTCTACGGAAACCGTATTGTCAGTGGTCCTTTTGTCGGGAGCTAAATTGACAGGAACCTATTTGTTGTGAGCCAAAATGACGGGAGTCTATTTGTCGGTAGTCGTAATGACGGGGGGCTATTTTGTGGAGAAACTAAATGCCAGCAGCCTAATTGTTGGGATTCGTTATGACGGGGTCTATTTTGTCAAGAAACTAAATAATGGTAGCCTAAATGACAGGAGACTATTTGTTGTGAGCCATATTGACTGGAGCCCTTTTGTCGGGAGCCTATTTGTCAGGAGCCTATGTGACGGGGTCCATATGTTGGGGCCGTTTTATCACTGGCCGCTTTGACGCCCCATGTAATAATATATATCTCACTTATTGTCTTGTTTAGTTTCCCTTTATTGACGGAATTAATTTCTGAATTAAATTGTGTTTTAAGTTAAGAAAGTTTAGTTTGGCTAATTTTTAATGGCCCAAATGTATATTGGCACTTATAAGTACCGTCAGCAATCTACATTTTTTCCAAAAAAAATTAAAATTGTACAAAATAGAATTAAACTGTAACATTTATTAACTAATAACATGGCAATCATTATAACAATCATTTTTATAATTCCCCCCCCCCCCCCCCCTAAAGACAAGTGTGACATCATTATGTTTCCCCACAACCATACTTTTTCTTTTCTTTTTTTAAATTTTTTTTTAGAGATTTATATTTTATAATGTTCTAAATTCACCAGGGCATCAATGTGGGGGGGGGGGGGGGGGAGGGATCATTGTCATATCTCTCACCTTAATTAGGGCCTACACAATTACATTTCATAAAGTGCTTTTTTATATAAATACTAGCGTACCCGACCCCCGCGCATTGCCGCGGGGATAGAAGAAAGTCTGACGAAATATATTAGAAGGATATCACCAATTAATTACCAATCATATGTTGTTAAACGCGTGTCCTTCTTTTCTAAAACTGTGTTATTTAAATGTAAACAATGCTTGCGCTTGGATAATAATTATCGGGACACGGGTTTTCCTACACTACCGCATGAAAACCTTGAGTGTACATTAATCATCCACCGAAATAATGAGGTAGAACACACTTCGGTGACCACTCATATGTCAGGGACGTAGAGGGGCGCTCTCATGAGCCCCCCCCCCCCCCCCGATCACACTACCGCATAAGCGCCACGTACTGCCCCTGGCTCCTTAAAACTAACAGGCGCCATCGTACTCATAGGATAACCCAGCATGCCAATAGCATCCTGTTAATAATGATGCAGATTTTGTCATTCGCTAAAGTGACACAAATGAACAGAATTTTTTTCTTTAACACGTAAAAAATTTTTTAGACGTGTTTTAAATATCAGTGCGACTGATGCAATATGCTAGCGTTACTAATGGTCTATTATTAGATGCTCGATCTCAATTTCTGACTGGATCGTCTAATAATAGATGCTTATTGCTTCATTCGCAAGGTAACGAAACTCTACAGTAGGCTCCTCATATTCAAAAAGTTATTTTTTCATCTTTCGCAACGTGACGAAACTGTTCAGGATTTCCTCGCGTTACAAAGTTATTTTTTAGAAGCCTGTTGATGTTTTACCGCTGAATATAGTAGTACCCCTTACTCGCTATGCAGGACGCTCGATTAACGGATGCCAAGTGCCAACATAGTCGCTCTAAAACTCTGGGTGCCAAGCCGTGTATTGACGAAAATTGTACCCTACATGGCGCCGCCCATAAGAAACTTTAGTTTTCATTTTCGCAGAAATATTCTCGGGAGTATTCTCATCTACTCTCTAAAGTTTCATGGCACTCCGATGAACCGCATCCGAGTTTTATTTTTTATATATCGTGTATAGAGAAAAAATCGCTCCCCCCCCCCCCCCCCCCCCCCCCGGGGACGCCGCCCTTGCAATATTAAAAAAATTTTTTTTTTTGCAGAACCCTAATCATCTAATCATCTCCCCAAAGTTTTATGGTACACGGATGAACGGTGTGATACCGAAATAGACTTTTATTTTTATAAGTCGTATATAGAGAAAAATCGCATCCTCCCGTGGCGCCGCCCTTGAGAAATTAAAAAAGGATTTTTTTACAGAACCCTTCCCTAAATTGTTCTAATCAACTCCCCAAAGTTTGATGGCGATCAGGTACATGGTGTCAAACCAAAATCGACTTTTATTTTTATATACCGTATATAGAGAAAAATCGCACCCTCCCGTAGCGCCGCCCTTGCGAAATTAAAAATATTTTTTTACAGAACCATTCCCTAGAGTGGTATAATGAACTCCCCAAAGTCTCATGGCTATCAGATGAACGATGCCAAACCAAAATTGACTTAAATTTTTATATACCGTATATAGAAAAAAACAAATTGCGCCCTGTCGGGGCGCCACCCCGACGAATTTGAAAATTTTTTTTTCGTAGAAACCTTCCCAGGAATATTCTCAACAACTTCCCAAAGTTTCACGGCGATGTGATGAGAGGTGTAGTAATGCATAAAGGACACACACACATACATTGCTTTATATATATATATATATATAGATAGATAGATAGATTAAAGAAAACAAAAGTTTTAGTCAATTAAATTTTACAACAAAAATCAACACAATATAGAGATCTACATGGGAATAAAAATTTGGTAGGGGGAACTACTCTAGTCTAATAATTATTTCTTTTGGAAAGATGAAACACCATTATAAAGTGCATTCCAGGATATTTATTTTGTACTGATTTGGCCCCTGATTGTGATTTGTTATTTAATTAATAAATATCTGATAAATTTTGTAAAGTAAGCCATAAATAAGCAAAATTTTATTAATTTAATAACAAGACGTCCACAGAATATATGGCATAGATCTAGAAAAGATTAATTAAGTGCTCTGATTATGGATTGGAATAAACGTCACGTTTTTAAAAACCATTTATTTATGCACGCAACTCACTTATAGGTGGTAATGTCAGTGTTTTTATTATCGAGTATCGATGACATTATTATTGTGTATTTTTCGGCAATGGCTTTTTAATTCTATGTTTACTCAAGAATCAATGACGTCATATTACTGTGTGTAATCTTCCGGCTTTAAATATTTCCTACTATATGTTCCATGTGATGTCACATTTCGTTTTTTGTTTGACTGTGAAAGTTTTTACTTTGCTTGTGTTTCCTCTAAAGTAAAAGTGTTCCCAATGTATATTGTGATATATATTTATGTCAAATATCATAGATAACTGAATAGTAAACCTAAAGCAATGGCTAAATATGTCACTATAGGCCAGAAATTAACTTTAAATAGCAGTGTTTGCAACCAAGATTTGCTATATAAACAGCGGCCATCTGTAAATTAGGCCATCTTTAAATATTATGGGAAAGTTTTAATACAATTGTTCAAAAATATATACATGAATGAAACTTATTTATATGAAAAATAGTATGGAGTTTCTTGAAATAGCAGGGCATTTCTTAGAATAGCAGGGAATTTTCTGGTAAAAAAATTGTGGGAACCCTGTTTAAAAAATGTATCTTCAAAACATAAATCCTCCTAAAATTGTGAAATAATTACTCATATATAATGAGTCACCTTTCTTTATGTATCTAAAACGATAGATTACCATATATATATATATATATATATATATATATATATATATATATATATATATATATATATATATATATATATATATATATATATATATATATATATATATATATATATATGTATGTATGCAAGCATATTTCAGTTCAGAGAACTTGATTGACTTGATTAACTTCTTTCTATTATTATTGTCTAAAATCTCCTTACTCAAATGATGCTTCCAAAGTTGACATGATTTATTGTTGATTCTTATCGATTTGTTGACTTCATTAGGCCTAGTTCTTATTATTACCTATATTTTCATTTCTCTTTTTTCTATTATTATTGTCTAAAACCTCCTTACTCAAATGATGCTTCCAAAGTTGACATGATTTATTGTTGATTCTTATCGATTTGTTGACTTCATTAGGCCTAGTTCTTATTATTACCTATATTTTCATTTCTCTTTTTTCTATTATTATTGTCTAAAACCTCCTTACTCAAATGATGCTTCCAAAGTTGACATGATTTATTGTTGATTCTTATCGATTTGTTGACTTCATTAGGCCTAGTTCTTATTATTACCTATATTTTTATTTCTCTTCATTTGTGTACACTATGTCAGTCTATGTTTACAAAATCCGAGTAAAGGTTTGGGTTAATTAATTATGCTATCCAGTGTTAGGGGTAATTAATTTTGTTGCCCAGTGTTAGAGGTGATTAATTTTGTTGCCCAATGTTAGAGGTGATTAATTTTGTTGCCCAATGTTAGAGTAAATTTTTTCTGTTGTCCTTATATTTTAATGAATCTCCACAGATGTGTTACCTATAGCAAGCTATCACTCCTGTGGCTCACTCAGTGGTCATCCACGTCTTGAGGAGATGTTGGCAGGGAAATGAAAACAATAAATGATGAAAATGGCAAATGTTCTGGGCTTCTTGTATACTAGCATCTTATATATGATTGGCCCAGCAGTGCTAGTAGCTCTGCTGGCTCTTATATATTCAAATGATTTCAGTTCCAGGATTGGCAAATTTAAAAACCATAATGATTTGCTTGTCATCTACAGACATAATTATGAGAGAGTGTTAGAAAAGCGTTTACAAAACATGAAAGAGTATAGTTATCCATTTCAAACAAATGCTGTTGATAAAAGAAGCAATCTATCTCTACAAGAGTTTTTAGATGTTTATGATGGAAAATGGTATTTGTTAGTTTTAATTATGTTACTTTGTGTGGCCTATAGATCTACAACTTTTAACTGGTGACATTAAAAATTGTACTATTAGAAAACAGTGACACTAAAAAAAATGGGGACATTAAAAAATGGTAACAAAAATGGTAACATTAAAAGTAGGTTTTATTCAAAGGCATAGAGATGCATTCCAGCGCCCGGGGAAAACTAATAACTTTGCAACCCCTTTTTTACTTTCTCGTATATACGAAGTATAGAGAAAGTATTGTAATCGTGCACAAAAATCACTTGAAATTTTAACAATTTTCACCGTATTACACCTCAGTCCTTCATCACATCCAAAGTATAGAGGACTTATTTTAATCGGGCAAAAATTATCAATCCAGATTTATCAAAATTAAGAGGTTTTATGCGTAATCCAGTATGAAAAACTGGGCTTTTCAAATCTGTCTGTGTGTGTGTCTGTGTGTAAACACGATTACTTGAGTACCGTTACAGCTAGGTTGATGAAATTTCATATATAAGTATTTTATCAAAATCGTAGATCCGTATCAACTTTTTAGCGATTTCCGATAACCGGAAGTGGTACTTTTTCTACTTTGAATTTTTCAAAAGCCTATAACTTGAGTACTATTTCAGATAGATAAATGAAATTTCACATGTAAGTAAAAGATCTAATTCTCTACCTTCTGTTAAATTTTGAGTAATTTCCGTTGACCGGAAGTAGTAACTTTCGCTACTTCCGATTTCTCAAAAAACTAATGCAAATTTTTAAAGTACTAATAATATTGCGCACTATTATGCACTTTTTTATTTGGCGTTCACTTGGTGTGCAATTCTTTTGTCTACGAGATTTTATTCTATTTTTAAAACTTTAAGTATTTAAAATGGATTAAAAATCATGTCTATAGCCCGAGTTCCCATCCCCTGTTGTTTTATATAAGAATATTCGAGAAAGTTTAGGGGAGATCACTCCCGGTTTATTTGTATCATTGTTCACATTGGCTTTGGCAAAAGAAAAGACACCCCCCCCCCAAGTTAGGAAAGGTCGGGGTGCACTTGTTATCAGTCACTGTCACACACTTAATGGTTTTTATGTTGGTGTCACACAGTTGATGTGGAAAACAGTTAAGTAAGCCAATAAAACAGAGTAAAGGTCTGTTTACTTGGATTGTGCATAATTAAGTATTCCTAACCCTGGTGAAATCTTGAACTTATCCTTTCTGTTTTGTCAATCTGTCACTAATTTCTAATTTATCTTTCAATAGGCCAGTCATTGTAACAGATATTATCCCTAATTGGCCAGCGTATCGGTGGACCAAAAAATATTTTATAGAAAATTACCCAGACTCTCAAGTTTTTGTCTCTATTAATGTAAGTAACAAAATAAGTTAATTACCTTATCATGATGTCTAACCTGTCTAATTTTCTAACCTTATCAAATCTGTTTTACTTTATGAAATCTATTTTTGACCTTATCAAATCTTTTTTACCTTATCAAATCTGTTTTTTTACCTTATCAAATCTTTTTGACCTTATCAAATCTGTTTTTTTACCTTATCAAATCTTTTTTACCTTATCAGATCTGTTTTTTTACCTTATCAAATCTTTTTGACCTTATCAAATCTGTTTTTTTACCTTATCAAATCTGTTTATTGACCTTATCAAATCTCCAAATCTAAAAGTTAGGAAAACGTGCTGTTGTTCCCACAGGGCAAGAGTGGCAGTGTAAGCAAACTTTCAGCTTTCCTCCAGCAACTTGACCAAGCCAACCAAACATTTTGGTCCTACCTTCAAGATGAGCTGTTTTTGCTCCAACACCCTGAACTCAGCTCTCAACTTCTGACCATGGTAAGCATGCAGGGTTGGGTTGGGTTGGGTGGGTGTACTTTTTATGTAGGGTATAATAGATTGACGACAGAAGCCTGTGGTTGTATATAATACATTTATTGGGTCTAACTTCATCACGATGGTAACACACAGAGAGGACGGAAGGAAGTACCCAAGGGACATCACTCAAGATAACAATATTATAAATATAACTAATACAGAAGAGTGAGTTCCCTTGACCTCACAATTATTTCAATCTATTACATCCCTTTACCCTTAGAACACAATAACACATCTCTCAATAGAACAATTGATAGTATCCTAAAATCACCAATTATATTGTAACATGAACACTATGATAGATTACATCCTTACAAACAATGCACAATATGCTACAACATAATCAAAATACAAAACAATAATGTCAAAGTCCTTTTGACCTTTAAAATCATAGGTCTAACTTATTTGGGACTTTGATTGTCCTGTTTGACCTTCTCAGTGGCCTTTGATTTGGTGACTCAATATTCTGACCATTTGGATTCTCTATCTCAGGAGGTCTAGGATTTAAATCATTAACTCCAGAATTTACATTTTCTGACTCCAGACAACTTGGTTCACTCATATCAACAGAACTTGGTTGTGGAACAAACTGAGTTGGTGTGAACTGTTCAGATTTGGTGGGATTGACAGATTCACACTTATTATCTGCACAAGTTATTTTTAACTGGTCTGCATGTCTACGGACAATAAGTCCATCATTTGTTTTTACTTTATAAGACACAGGTCCTGTACATTGAACAATTTGACCTGGTATCCATTTTTCCTTTCTCCCATAATTTCTTAGATACACATTATCATTAACTGCAAATTCTCTTTCAATGGATGATTTGTCATGATTTACTTTTTGTGTATGTTGATGTTGGGAAACAGACCTTTGAACAGTTGGATGCAGTAGGTCAAGATGAGTTTTAATTTTCCTACCACATAGCAATTCACATGGTGCAACACCTGTTGTTATATGAGGAGTTGTGCGGTATTTGGTTAAGAACCTGTTTACTCTTTCTCTAAGAGAAAACTTGTTACCGGTATTCATTTTTACCATAGCGGTTTTGAATATGCCTACCGCTCTTTCAGCCAAACCATTCCCAGCAGGATGATAGGGGGATGTGGTTATATGCTCAATACCATTTGCCACACAAAACAGTTTAAACTCATGAGCTGTGAAACTAGGCCCATTATCTGAAACAATTTGATCTGGTAATCCATGAGTTGAAAATATTTCCTTCAGTTCTATAATGGTATCATTTGCAGTGATTGTGTTCATGATTTTAACTTCTAACCATTTAGAATGTGAATCAATAACAATTAAGAACATTTTGTTCATGAAAGGTCCTGCGAAATCTATATGTATACGTTTCCATGGTTCGATTGGCCAGTCCCAGTTTTGCAAAGGTGCTGTAGCTGGTTGATTTGAATGTTGTGCACAGCTTGAACAAAGTTTTACATATTTTTCAATATCAGCATCCATATGTGGCCACCAGAACCATGATCTTGCTAGACTCTTCATTTTGGAAGAACCAAGATGAGTATCATGTAAAGTTCTTAAAACTTCTTTTTGTAACATTTTGGGGATAATTACTCTTGACCCCCATAGTATACATCCATCTTCTAGACTTAACTCTGTTTTTCTTATTTTATATGGCTTTAAGTCCTCATTCACTGACTCTTCAGGCCAACCATTTTTACAGTACTCATATACTTTTATTAAGCACTCATCTTTTTGTGTTTCTCTTTTAATATCATTCACATTTATATTGGAGTTATCCATGATAGTGAAGAGAACAAATACATCTTCTGGTACATAGCTCAGGCTTTGGTTTTTTAAAGGTAATCTACTAAGGCCATCTGCACTATTCTCAGATCCAGGTTTGTATTTCAATTCATAATTGTATGCAGTTAGTGTGATAGCCCATCTTTGAATTCTTGGTGAGGCATGCTCAGGTAGGGTTTTGTTTTCTCCAAATAAACCTAGCAATGGTTTATGATCTGTAAAGATGGTGAACTTCCTACCAAACAGAAACTTATGAAATTTCTTAACACCAAAAATGATGCCTAAGCCTTCCCTATCTAACTGAGAATAATTTTTCTCAGCCTGGTTCAAAGATCTACTGGCAAAAGCAATGGGTCTGTCACCCTTCTCATCCATGTGGGACAAGACTGCTCCTACACCATCTGGTGAAGCATCACATGTTAATAAAAGTCTTTTCCCTGGGTCATAGTGAGTTAGTAAGGTGTCAGCAGACAAAGCCTCTTTTGCTGTATTAAAAGCAGCTTCTTGTTGTTTACCCCAGTGCCAAGTTGCATTTTTCTGTAGCAGCTTGTACAGTGGTGATAGTTTACCAGACAGATTCCCTATGAACTTTGCATAGTAATTTATCAAGCCCAAAAAAGCTCTTAGTTGTTGGGTATTTTCAGGTTTGGGTGCTTCTTTAATGGCTTTTGTTTTCTCAGGTTGAGGTCTGATGCCTTGCTTGCTTAATATATAACCAAGAAAACTGATTTCTGTCAGCATGAATTGACATTTATCTTTGTTTATCTTTAAACCTTTTTCACCAACAATTTTCAAGACTTTATCAAGTGTTTTAAGATGTTCAGTGTCATTCTTACCAGTTATGTACACATTGTCAAAGTACACACAAACATTTGGAATATCCTTAAAAATACTGTCCATGACAGCTTGGAAAATTCCAGGGCTAGATGATATGCCAAAACATAGTCTTTCATATTGGTAGAGTCCTTTATGTGTGTTTATTGTCGTATAGACTTTTGAATCTGGATGCAGTTCTAGTTGAGTGTAAGCATGACTAAAGTCTAATTCAGTGAATTTGTCTCCTCCTGCCAAATTCAAAGAAATTTCCTCAATGTTAGGTATAGGGTACCTATTTAGCTCTATTTGCTTATTCAGTGTGGTTTTATAATCTCCACAAATTCTTATAGAACCATCCTTCTTTAACACTGGCACAATGGGCGTTGCCCAATCAGAATAGTCTACCTTCTTTATGATGCCATTAGATTCCAATCTACTTAGCTCATTTTCAATTTTATTCCTCATTGCATAAGGTGGAACTCTAGCTTTGCAGTATCTTGGATTTGTATCTTTAATGCTTAACTTCACTGTTCTATCATTTAGTAAACCTGAGTTACCAAAAACACATTTATTTTCAGATATAACTTTATCTAGTGAAGTAAGACTAGATTCTTTTACATTCTTCAATGAACAAATACTCTCCCAATTTAACTTAAGATCACTTAACCAGTTCCTACCTAGTAATGGCGGTCCATTTCCTTCAACCACAAGAAGAGGAAGTTTAACACTTTGACCATTATAACTTACATGAACCATACACTCTCCTATTACCGGAACATTGTCACCAGTGTATGTTGTTAGACACTTGTGACATGGCTGTAGAGGCACTGATCCTCCTGTGACAGCGTCAAAATCTTTCTTTGTTATGACTGTTAGAGATGCTCCAGTGTCAAGTTGGAAGCTGATGCTCTTACCGTTGATATTAACTTGTACATTGATGGGGAGCATGACTTATTGATTTCACAGAGAACAGGTTGAAATCCGGCTGCGAATCAGTTTGAGCATTTTCACAGGTAGAGTGGTTCATTGGTTGGGTTAGGTAGTCTTGGTGAGAGTTAACATAGTGCTGCTTTTGGTTGCGGTACTGTCTTGACTGGCTAGATTTAGCAACAGACGAAGACTTTGCAAAGCAGGCCTTGGCAATGTGACCTTGCTTACTGCACTTATAACAAGTTGCAGACTTGAACTTGCACCGATGAGATGCATGGGGACCTTTGCATCGATGACATTTTTGATAATTATTACTAGATTTAGATCTAGGATTTGAACGAGCAGGCTGTTTAGCATAAGTTGGAATGCTCTGATGGGGTTGATGTTTATTGACTAACCTGCTGTTTACTGCATGGATCCCTGAAGGCGTAAGAGATTTCGCCGCATCTGATGACTGCTGGATTGAAGTTGCGAGTTGTATTGCTTTTTCTAATGTTAGATCTGACTCGAGCAGCAACTTTCTTTGAATATCAGGGCTGTTTACACCTGTCACAAACTTTTCACATAATCTGTCAGACAGCGTGTCTCCGAATTCACAAAATTCACTTAAATGACGTAAAGCAGCAACATATTCTGATATTGACTCGTTTGGTTGACGAGTCCTACTGTCAAATCTAGCTCGACATAGAAACTTTGATGGTACAGGCGCATGGTGGTCTGTTAGCAATTTGCTCAGCTCGTTAAAGCTCTTGGTAGTTAGACTAGCTGGTGCGCATAAGTCCTTTAGTAGCCTAAATTGTTGAGGCCCTATGACTGTTAACAAAATAGCTCTCTTTTTGGCTTCTATCGTCACGTTGTTAGCTTCTAGGTAAAAGCTTAACCTCTCTAGGTAATCTTGAATGATTTCATCATTCGCATCAAATTCTTTTATTTGGCCATACAGCGCCATAATTCTAGAAATAATTAGCTAATAAGCTCTAGCAAACCTCTTTTTTGCGTAAGTAGGTGCTCTTTCTAGTAGATGTCCATCCTCGTCGCCAGTTATAATAGATTGACGACAGAAGCCTGTGGTTGTATATAATACATTTATTGGGTCTAACTTCATCACGATGGTAACACACAGAGAGGACGGAAGGAAGTACCCAAGGGACATCACTCAAGATAACAATATTATAAATATAACTAATACAGAAGAGTGAGTTCCCTTGACCTCACAATTATTTCAATCTATTACATAGGGTTGCCGTTAATGTTACTAATGTTAGTTTTGATGAAACTATTATCCATGTATGTTAATGATTAGCTTCATCATCTATTACATTTTTAAAAAATGTAGTTTTGTATCCCTTTCTTTGTTTCTTGCTCTATCCCAAAATGTGAATCATCCTCTATTTTCTAATTTTGGATCAACTTTACCCAAATTGTGAATCATCCTCTATTTTCTAATTTTGGATCAACTTTACCCAAATTGTGAATCATCCTCTATTTTCTAATTTTGGATCAACTTGACCCAAATTGTGAATCATCCTCTATTTTCTAATTTTGGATCAACTTTACCCAAACTGTGAATCATCCTCTATTTTCTAATTTTGGATCAACTTTACCCAAACTGTGAATCATCCTCTATTTTCTAATTTTGGATCAACTTTACCCAAACTGTGAATCATCCTCTATTTTCTAATTTTGGATCAACTTTACCCAAACTGTGAATCATCCTCTATTTTCTAATTTTGGATCAACTTTACCCAAACTGTGAATCATCCTCTATTTTCTAATTTTGGATCAACTTTACCCAAATTGTGAATAATCCTCTATTCCTATTTGATTGTTTGCATTCCCTGCCTTCATTTATCCTTGTAGACAGTGTGCAATACAGCCTTTACTGTTTAAGTGTATGCGAGTAGAAAACATTTTTCTATCCTAGATGTACACTAGAGAAAATTTCTTTAGCCTTTTTCCTGAAGAAATTCGTCCTTGGGACTGCTTGTTGCTGTGGGGAACAGCTTTCTCTCGCTCTACGCTGCACATTGACCCCTATAACTGGACAGGAACAAATGCTGTACTTAGCGGAGCTAAAAAATGGAAGGTATATAATTTACTTTTGCTAAATTTAGCTGTGTGTAACCGTTTTGAATCTATAAACATTGATTTATCTGTGTAAATCTACTTAAAAAAATTTTTTTTTTTAAATAAAGAACAATTTCTCTAAAGTGAAGGTTATTTTTAGCTGAATTTTATTGTTTTGTCTCTGTTTTGTCTCTGTTGCTAAATAGAAGAGAAGAGGTAATCAATACCATCTCTTTGGCTCAAATTTTTGTACTACTAGCTCATTCTCCCTGGACAAGATAGATACTTATCAGTCAAACCTGACCAGGATTGTGGGTTTCCTTTGGATTGTAAAAAATACAACAGGTAAATATATTTTAAGCTCAACAAAGTCATTTAAATATCATCACTCAGTTGACAGGGTGGTTGTAGAGATTGTGGACAGGGTGGTTGTAGAGATTGTGGACAGGGTGGTTGTAGAGATTGTGGACAGGGTGGTTGTGGAGATTGTGGACAGGGTGGTTGTAGAGATTGTGGACAGGGTGGTTGTGGAGATTGTGGACAGGGTGGTTGTAGAGATTGTGGACAGGGTGGTTGTAGAGATTGTGGACAGGGTGGTTGTGGACAGGGTGGTTGTAGAGATTGTGGACCGGGTGGTTGTAGAGATTGTGGACAGGATGGTTGTAGAGATTGTGGACAGGGTGGTTGTGGACAGGGTGGTTGTAGAGATTGTGGACAGGGTGGTTGTGGAGATTGTGGACAGGGTGGTTGTGGACAGGGTGGTTGTAGAGATTGTGGACAGGGTGGTTGTGGACAGGGTGGTTGTAGAGATTGTGGACAGGGTGGTTGTAGAGATTGTGGAAAGGGTGGTTGTAGAGATTGTGGACAGGGTGGTTGTAGAGATTGTGGACAGGGTGGTTGTGGACAGGGTGGTTGTAGAGATTGTGGACAGGGTGGTTGTAGAGATTGTGGACAGGGTGGTTGTGGACAGGGTGGTTGTAGAGATTGTGGACAGGGTGGTTGTAGAGATTGTGGACAGGGTGGTTGTAGAGATTGTGGACAGGGTGGTTGTGGACAGGGTGGTTGTAGAGATTGTGGACAGGGTGGTTGTAGAGATTGTGGACAGGGTGGTTGTGGACAGGGTGGTTGTAGAGATTGTGGACAGGGTGGTTGTAGAGATTGTGGACAGGGTGGTTGTAGAGATTGTGGACAGGGTGGTTGTAGAGATTGTGGACAGGGTGGTTGTGGAGATTGTGGACAGGGTGATTGTGGACAGGGTGGTTGTAGAGATTGTGGACAGGGTGGTTGTGGACAGGGTGGTTGTAGAGATTGTGGACCGGGTGGTTGTAGAGATTGTGGACAGGATGGTTGTAGAGATTGTGGACAGGGTGGTTGTGGACAGGGTGGTTGTAGAGATTGTGGACAGGGTGGTTGTGGAGATTGTGGACAGGGTGGTTGTGGACAGGGTGGTTGTAGAGATTGTGGACAGGGTGGTTGTAGAGATTGTGGACAGGGTGGTTGTAGAGATTGTGGACAGGGTGGTTGTGGACAGGGTGGTTGTAGAGATTGTGGACAGGGTGGTTGTGGACAGGGTGGTTGTAGAGATTGTGGACAGGGTGGTTGTAGAGATTGTGGACAGGGTGGTTGTGGACAGGGTGGTTGTAGAGATTGTGGACAGGGTGGTTGTAGAGATTGTGGACAGGGTGGTTGTAGAGATTGTGGACAGGGTGGTTGTGGAGATTGTGGACAGGGTGGTTGTGGAGATTGTGGACAGGGTGGTTGTAGAGATTGTGGACAGGGTGGTTGTAGAGATTGTGGACAGGGTGGTTGTGGACAGGGTGGTTGTAGAGATTGTGGACAGTGCATTAGATCTCTTATGTTGTTGTCATTCAGTGCATTAGATCTCTTATGTTGTTGTCATTCAGTGCATTAGATCTCTTATGTTGTTGTCATTCAGTGCATTAGATCTCTTATGTTGTTGTCATTCAGTGCATTAGATCTCTTATGTTGTTGTCATTCAGTGCATTAGATCTCTTATGTTGTTGTCATTCAGTGCATTAGATCTCTTATGTTGTTGTCATTCAGTGCATTAGATCTCTTATGTTGTTGTCATTCAGTGCATTAGATCTCTTATGTTGTTGTCATTCAGTGCATTAGATCTCTTATGTTGTTGTCATTCAGTGCATTAGATCTCTTATGTTGTTGTCATTCAGTGCATTAGATCTCTTATGTTGTTGTCATTCAGTGCATTAGATCTCTTATGTTGTTGTCATTCAGTGCATTAGATCTCTTATGTTGTTGTCATTCAGTGCATTAGATCTCTCATGTTGTTGTCATTCAGTGCATTAGATCTCTTATGTTGTTGTCATTCAGTGCATTAGATCTCTTATGTTGTTGTCATTCAGTGCATTAGATCTCTTATGTTGTTGTCATTCAGTGCATTAGATCTCTTATGTTGTTGTCATTCAGTGCATTAGATCTCTTATGTTGTTGTCATTCAGTGCATTAGATCTCTTATGTTGTTGTCATTCAGTGCATTAGATCTCTTATGTTGTTGTCATTCAGTGCATTAGATCTCTTCTCAAACGAGGATGAAGCGAATGAAGTTTTAACACAGGTCAAACACCTGGAGGTTGTCCAGCTAGCAGGGGAACTCTTGTTTATCCCAACTGGTTGGTTTCATCAGGTAACCAGAATCTAACCCTAGCAGGGGAACTCTATCCCAACTGGTTGGTTTTATCAGGTAACCAGAATCTAACCCTAGCAGGGGAACTCTATCCCAACTGGTTGGTTTCATCAGGTAACCAGAATCTAACCCTAGCAGGGGAACTCTTGTTTATCCCAACTGGTTGGTTTCATCAGGTAACCAGAATCTAACCAAGACCCTAACCCTTGTGTAACCATGACACTATTCCTAACCCTAGTTTAACCATGACTATTCCTAAATCTAGTCTAACCCTAACCCCAATACCATTCCTACCCCTAATCTAATCCAAACATAATCAAGCTAATGGATGACATAATAATCATAAGATTAGTTGAGAAAACTTTGTAAGACTAGAGCTGGGTATCTTTTATAGCTGGATGGACTCAAAGTTATAACAGAACCACAGCCCTAACCCAAAGTTAAACAATACCATAAGCCTGATCCTTTTCTTCAGCTCTTAGAAAATGTGTATGTTCTGTTACCAGGCGTTGAATGTGGAGCCAACTCTGGCGGTGTCAGGACAAGTTATGAATGTCCACAACTACTTGCCAGTGCTTGAAGAAATCCTCAAGGGTGGAGGTCTGTCTCGCTCGGATTTACCAGACAATATGGAAACTTTAACCCCTATGGAACTGGTCAGAATGTTTCTGTGCTAACCTTACCTTTGATGTTGAACTGGTCAGAATGTTTCTGTGCTAACCCTTTGATGTTGAACTGGTCAGAATGTTTCTGTGCTAACCTTACCTTTGATGTTGAACTGGTCAGAATGTTTCTGTGCTAACCTTACCTTTGATGTTAAACTGGTCAGAATGTTTCTGTGCTAACCTTACCTTTGATGTTGAACTGGTCAGAATGTTTCTGTGCTAACCTTACCTTTGATGTTAAACTGGTCAGAATGTTTCTGTGCTAACCTTACGTTTGATGTTGAACTGGTCAGAATGTTTCTGTGCTAACCTTACGTTTGATGTTGAACTGGTCAGAATGTTTCTGTGCTAACCTTACGTTTGATGTTGAACTGGTCAGAATGTTTCTGTGTTAACCTTATGTTTGATGTTGAACTGGTCAGAATGTTTCTGTGCTAACCTTACCTTTGATGTTGAACTGGTCAGAATGTTTCTGTGCTAACCTTACCTTTGATGTTGAACTGGTCAGAATGTTTCTGTGCTAACCTTACGTTTGATGTTGAACTGGTCAGAATGTTTCTGTGCTAACCTTACGTTTGATGTTGAACTGGTCAGAATGTTTCTGTGTTAACCTTACCTTTGATGTTGAACTGGTCAGAATGTTTCTGTGCTAACCCTTTGATGTTGAACTGGTCAGAATGTTTCTGTGCTAACCTTACCTTTGATGTTGAACTGGTCAGAATGTTTCTGTGCTAACCTTACCTTTGATGTTGAACTGGTCAGAATGTTTCTGTGCTAACTTTACGTTTGATATTGAACTGGTCAGAATGTTTCTGTGCTAACCTTACCTTTGATGTTGAACTGGTCAGAATGTTTCTGTGCTAACCCTTTGATGTTAAACTGGTCAGAATGTTTCTGTGCTAACCTTACCTTTGATGTTGAACTGGTCAGAATGTTTCTGTGCTAACCTTACCTTTGATGTTAAACTGGTCAGAATGTTTCTGTGCTAACCTTACCTTTGATGTTGAACTGGTCAGAATGTTTCTGTGCTAACCTTACCTTTGATGTTGAACTGGTCAGAATGTTTCTGTGCTAACCTTACCTTTGATGTTGAACTGGTCAGAATGTTTCTGTGCTAACCTTACCTTTGATGTTGAACTGGTCAGAATGTTTCTGTGCTAACCTTACGTTTGATGTTAAACTGGTCAGAATGTTTCTGTGCTAACCTTACGTTTGATGTTAAACTGGTCAGAATGTTTCTGTGCTAACATTACCTTTGATGTTGAACTGGTCAGAATGTTTCTGTGCTAACCTTACCTTTGATGTTGAACTGGTCAGAATGTTTCTGTGCTAACCTTATGTTTGATGTTAAACTGGTCAGAATGTTTCTGTGCTAACCTTACCTTTGAAGTTGAACTGGTCAGAATGTTTCTGTGCTAACCTTATGTTTGATGTTGAACTGGTCAGAATGTTTCTGTGCTAACCTTACCTTTGATGTTGAACTGGTCAGAATGTTTCTGTGCTAACCTTACGTTTGATGTTGAACTGGTCAGAATGTTTCTGTGCTAACCTTACCTTTGATGTTGAACTGGTCAGAATGTTTCTGTGCTAACCTTATGTTTGATGTTGAACTGGTCAGAATGTTTCTGTGCTAACCTTACCTTTGATGTTGAACTGGTCAGAATGTTTCTGTGCTAACCTTATGTTTGATGTTGAACTGGTCAGAATGTTTCTGTGCTAACCCTTTGATGTTGAACTGGTCAGAATGTTTCTGTGCTAACCTTACCTTTGATGTTGAACTGGTCAGAATGTTTCTGTGCTAACCTTACGTTTGATGTTGAACTGGTCAGAATGTTTCTGTGCTAACCTTATGTTTGATGTTGAACTGGTCAGAATGTTTCTGTGCTAACCCTTTGATGTTGAACTGGTCAGAATGTTTCTGTGCTAACCTTACCTTTGATGTTGAACTGGTCAGAATGTTTCTGTGCTAACCTTATGTTTGATGTTGAACTGGTCAGAATGTTTCTGTGCTAACCTTATGTTTGATGTTGAACTGGTCAGAATGTTTCTGTGCTAACCTTATGTTTGATGTTAAACTGGTCAGAATGTTTCTGTGCTAACCTTACCTTTGATGTTGAACTGGTCAGAATGTTTCTGTGCTAACCTTACCTTTGATGTTAAACTGGTCAGAATGTTTCTGTGCTAACCTTATGTTTGATGTTGAACTGGTCAGAATGTTTCTGTGCTAACCTTATGTTTGATGTTGAACTGGTCAGAATGTTTCTGTGCTAACCTTACGTTTGATGTTGAACTGGTCAGAATGTTTCTGTGCTAACCTTACCTTTGATGTTGAACTGGTCAGAATGTTTCTGTGCTAACCTTACGTTTGATGTTGAACTGGTCAGAATGTTTCTGTGCTAACCTTACCTTTGATGTTGAACTGGTCAGAATGTTTCTGTGCTAACCTTATGTTTGATGTTGAACTGGTCAGAATGTTTCTGTGCTAACCCTTTGATGTTGAACTGGTCAGAATGTTTCTGTGCTAACCTTACCTTTGATGTTGAACTGGTCAGAATGTTTCTTTGCTAACCTTACCTTTGATGTTGAACTGGTCAGAATGTTTCTGTGCTAACCTTACGTTTGATGTTAAACTGGTCAGAATGTTTCTGTGCTAACCCTTTGATGTTAAACTGGTCAGAATGTTTCTGTGCTAACCCTTTGATGTTAAACTGGTCAGAATGTTTCTGTGCTAACCTTACCTTTGATGTTGAACTGGTCAGAATGTTTCTGTGCTAACCTTATGTTTGATGTTGAACTGGTCAGAATGTTTCTGTGCTAACCTTACCTTTGATGTTAAACTGGTCAGAATGTTTCTGTGCTAACCCTTTGATGTTAAACTGGTCAGAATGTTTCTGTGCTAACCTTACCTTTGATGTTGAACTGGTCAGAATGTTTCTGTGCTAACCTTACCTTTGATGTTAAACTGGTCAGAATGTTTCTGTGCTAACCTTACCTTTGATGTTGAACTGGTCAGAATGTTTCTGTGCTAACCTTACCTTTGATGTTGAACTGGTCAGAATGTTTCTGTGCTAACCTTACGTTTGATGTTGAACTGGTCAGAATGTTTCTGTGCTAACCTTACCTTTGATGTTGAACTGGTCAGAATGTTTCTGTGCTAACCTTACGTTTGATGTTGAACTGGTCAGAATGTTTCTGTGCTAACCTTATGTTTGATGTTGAACTGGTCAGAATGTTTCTGTGCTAACCTTACGTTTGATGTTGAACTGGTCAGAATGTTTCTGTGCTAACCTTACCTTTGATGTTGAACTGGTCAGAATGTTTCTGTGCTAACCTTACCTTTGATGTTAAACTGGTCAGAATGTTTCTGTGCTAACCTTACCTTTGATGTTGAACTGGTCAGAATGTTTCTGTGCTAACCTTACCTTTGATGTTGAACTGGTCAGAATGTTTCTGTGCTAACCTTACCTTTGATGTTGAACTGGTCAGAATGTTTCTGTGCTAACCTTACCTTTGATGTTGAACTGGTCAGAATGTTTCTGTGCTAACCTTACGTTTGATGTTGAACTGGTCAGAATGTTTCTGTGCTAACCTTACCTTTGATGTTGAACTGGTCAGAATGTTTCTGTGCTAACCTTACGTTTGATGTTGAACTGGTCAGAATGTTTCTGTGCTAACCTTACGTTTGATGTTGAACTGGTCAGAATGTTTCTGTGCTAACCTTACCTTTGATGTTGAACTGGTCAGAATGTTTCTGTGCTAACCTTACCTTTGATGTTAAACTGGTCAGAATGTTTCTGTGCTAACCTTATGTTTGATGTTGAACTGGTCAGAATGTTTCTGTGCTAACCTTACCTTTGATGTTGAACTGGTCAGAATGTTTCTGTGCTAACCTTACCTTTGATGTTGAACTGGTCAGAATGTTTCTGTGCTAACCTTACGTTTGATGTTGAACTGGTCAGAATGTTTCTGTGCTAACCTTACGTTTGATGTTGAACTGGTCAGAATGTTTCTGTGCTAACCTTACCTTTGATGTTGAACTGGTCAGAATGTTTCTGTGCTAACCTTACGTTTGATGTTAAACTGGTCAGAATGTTTCTGTGCTAACCTTATGTTTGATGTTGAACTGGTCAGAATGTTTCTGTGCTAACCTTACCTTTGATGTTGAACTGGTCAGAATGTTTCTGTGCTAACCTTACCTTTGATGTTGAACTGGTCAGAATGTTTCTGTGCTAACCTTACGTTTGATGTTGAACTGGTCAGAATGTTTCTGTGCTAACCTTACCTTTGATGTTGAACTGGTCAGAATGTTTCTGTGCTAACCTTACGTTTGATGTTGAACTGGTCAGAATGTTTCTGTGCTAACCTTACGTTTGATGTTGAACTGGTCAGAATGTTTCTGTGCTAACCCTTTGATGTTGAACTGGTCAGAATGTTTCTGTGCTAACCTTACCTTTGATGTTAAACTGGTCAGAATGTTTCTGTGCTAACCTTATGTTTGATGTTGAACTGGTCAGAATGTTTCTGTGCTAACCTTACCTTTGATGTTGAACTGGTCAGAATGTTTCTGTGCTAACCTTACCTTTGATGTTGAACTGGTCAGAATGTTTCTGTGCTAACCTTACGTTTGATGTTGAACTGGTCAGAATGTTTCTGTGCTAACCTTACGTTTGATGTTGAACTGGTCAGAATGTTTCTGTGCTAACCTTACCTTTGATGTTGAACTGGTCAGAATGTTTCTGTGCTAACCTTACGTTTGATGTTAAACTGGTCAGAATGTTTCTGTGCTAACCTTATGTTTGATGTTGAACTGGTCAGAATGTTTCTGTGCTAACCTTACCTTTGATGTTGAACTGGTCAGAATGTTTCTGTGCTAACCTTATGTTTGATGTTGAACTGGTCAGAATGTTTCTGTGCTAACCCTTTGATGTTGAACTGGTCAGAATGTTTCTGTGCTAACCTTACCTTTGATGTTGAACTGGTCAGAATGTTTC